TATTACTCAAGACACCCAATAATTAATGTTCTCAAAATACATCTACCCTGTTACTTCTTCTTTCCATCTTATCCATTAGAAAAGCAAAAGAAAAAAAAACAAGTTCACCAGAAAAAAGGAAAAGAAAAGAACTTACTTTTTTTAAGGGAAAAAAAAAAAAAAACTCACAGAATAAATGCTCTTCCCTCCATACTGTGAGTAAAACTTGGTATGGACGCATACCTAGCAAAAAAGATGTGACACCACAAATTTCTATGGATCTCTTCTTTCTTTTCTTTATTTGGCCCCTCCTCTATGGCTATCTATAGAATCCAAAAATATAACATTCAACCCTCCCATTTTTAAGGGCCTATTTTTGAACACCATCTTCGTGGGCACAAACTGCCCCTATGTCTCTATAAATATGCACAATCCCATGCCCCCTTTCAATCAACATCTAACAATCCAACCTTCTCTACTACAAAGAGAAGACCTTAAACTTCTCATATCAAGAAAAAAAAAATGGCGTTCAACACGAAGCTTCATTTGGCCATTTGCTGCGTCGCATTGGTCTTCACCCTTGTCTCTGCAAACATTTCCAAAGCAGATATCGATGGCTTCATCGAAGAGCACAACAAGGCTCGTAAAGAGGTCGGCAACAAACCCCTTAAGTGGAACACGACCTTGGCCCAGTATGCTCAAGAATATGCCAACAAAAGAATTGACGACTGCGCCATGGAGCACTCAAGGGGGCGTTGGGGTGAGAACTTGACCTCCGGCCACAGCATGACCGGTGCAGCTGCCACTAAGTATTGGCTCACTGAGAAAGAGTTCTATGACTACAAGTCCAACAAATGCGTCAAAGACGAATGTGGTCACTACCTTGCTGTGGTCTGGGGCAAAACCACCGAGGTCGGATGTGGCATTTCAAAGTGCAAGAATGGGGTGAACTACGTGGTTTGCAGCTATGATCCCATGTACCAACCTGAGGACGAGCGCCCCTACTAGACAATGTATGTATGCTTGCGTGCGCACACGCACACCTACACGAGGCCTGTTGAGAGGTCCAGTGTTTTTTTTCTTTTGCAAAATTAGAAAAATAAAATGTAACGGGTGTATACGAATACTTTCCCACACTCACAACATTCCTTTACGTGATTAGCATTTGACATGGTATTGTGAGAGGTTACAAGAGAATGAATAAAAAATTGAAAAAGAATAATGTTATTTCATTTTTGTTAATTCTAACAGAAATATTATCTCATTCTCTTTATGTTTTTTTGTCAATCTCTCTCTTTCTGAAATATTATCTCATTACCTCATTCTTTCATTTTTTTTTTATTGAAACCCTTGGTCAAGATTGTGGTTGCAGTGATTAGAGGTAGGAACTTGGATTGCTTATGTCATTATAGATTTTGAAAATTTGATTGCTTATGTCATTATAGATTTTGAATATTTGAATGGTTTCGTTATTGTAATTATATTTCACCAATTATGTCTATGTTTATTTTTTTTCATCTTTAAATGAGGAAAGATTCGAATTTGAGAGTTTTTACATTGGAAAGAAAAATACAACTAGACAAAAACCTAATTGGTTTATCCAAAATTTTAATAAAGGACTAAATATCCATTACTTTGGTAAGAAACTTAGGGGTCGTTTGTTACACATGCTTGGCTTGGACTAAATTTAGTACCATGTTTGTTTCATCTAATCATAGTTTTAGATGAGATTGCTAATACCAGGCCCACCAAAAACAACTCCTTAAGAGGGGACTACTAATGTGAAAAGGGAGGATTAACTAGTCTCATGCTCACCAATGTATAAAATGCACACACACACACACACACATATATATATATATATATATATATATATATATATATATA